CTGGATTAGGAGGCTTCGCTTCGAACAACGGGTGGGGGGGACTTTCCCCAGAGCGCCTTGTGGTGGGGTCGCCCATTGCCCCCGGTGGTAGGGGGGTTAGGACGGACTCCCCGAGAGAGGCCACGTGGGAGAGGAGAGACATTTCCCAGAGAGGCCACGGGGGTGGGGGTCGGAGAGGGCGAGAGGCCGCCCCGCACACTGCAGAGCGCACACTCATCCTGTGCCGGCGGGCGGCTGCGGCCCACAGTTCCGTGTTTGAATACCGGCGATTCTTTTCTGTTTTCACATCAGTCACCCCAAGAGGACGTCTTAGTGGAGGCGGAGTGGGCGGGCGTGGCGGTGAAGGGGCCTCAGCCCGGTGTTCAGGTCAGGAGGGACCAGCAGGAGGCAGTGCCACACGCCAGCGCCTAGACCGGCGTCCGTGATGGGGGCTCCGCCACCCCGGCGACCTTCCCCGTGATGGGGGCTCCGCCGCCGACGCCGGCGCGCGGCCAGAGACGTGGGCCGAGCGCGGCGCGGGTCAGGAGGTCCCCGAGAGCGGCCGCCGCCGGGCGGACGGGGGTTGGGGTGCGACGGGGTGGGGGCAGGAGGGCTGGAGGCGGGGTCATCTGCGTGGCGGCAGAGCGCGGATTGGCTGGGGCTTGGCGTCCCTTGGCCCCGCCCCTCTGCCTATCTCACCCCACTTGGTCCCCGGAAGCAGAGGGCACACGGCGGGCTGCGATTGGAGGGCCCAGAGCGCCGTCTGTGACGCCAGAGGAGGCGGGGCATCCCCGGGCCCGGGATCTGATTGGAGGACGTGAATGGGGCGTGGCATGCCTGTGTCACCGGGTCCTGATTGGGCGGCGGGCGTGAGAGGCGGGGCCGGCAGGGATCCGAGCTGCGCGGGTCCTGCTGGGCTGTCGGGCGGTGCGCGGAGATGAGGAAGGTGGTCCTGGTCACCGGGGCGAGCAGGTGAGGCCCGTGCGCCCGGCCCGCAGCGGGCCTGCCCCCCCTTCCTGTCCGCCTGGCTCTGACCCGGGAGACAGGCGTGCTGGGCACCGTGTGGTTAATTCCGTTTCTGTCTAACCCAGTGGCGTCGGCCGAGCGCTGTGCCAGCGGCTGCTGGAGGAGGACGACGGGCTGCACCTGTGCTTGGCGTGCAGGAACCGGGGCCGGGCCGAGGCCGTGCGCGCCGCGCTGCTGGCCGCCCGGCCCTCCGCCCAGGTGAGCACCGTGCAGGTGGACGTCTCCGACCTGCGCTCGGTGCTGCGGGCCGCCAGGGAGCTCAGGCGCAGGTGGGCCTCTCTGACGGGCTTTCTCACTGTGGTGGTGCCGCCAGCAGCTGCCATCGAGGAAGGGCCTGCGGTGGCACCGGCGTCTGCCCTCATTCCCTGCGATCATGCTTATTTCATGAGGAGTAACCCAGGCGCGCCCCTGGCGGGCGGCCAGCCCGGTGCCTTACTCAGTGAGCGCCTTGGACACCTGAGAGCATTTTCTGCATCTTTGCTCGCTGGGTGCTAAATAGGTCAGCAGGTACCGGCATAAAGAGATGAGAGCAGTGTGCCCGTGAGGCATAGGGCTTGAAGCTGGGCAGGTCCTGGAACCCAGCTCCCCTCCCTGGCTCTTCAGGGCGGACATTAGTGACCGCAGGTTAGCAATTTATATCAAGTAAGATGCTTGGTGAGTTAGCCCAAGCTTAAGATAATCAGTGAGCTGCCAGCCGCCCACAGCGTTGGTGCTGGTGCGGTGCTGCTGTCCTTAATTCTCCAAGCAGCTCTTAGAGGCGGGTGGTATTGCCCTGGTTTAGGGGACGATGGTTGTTGTGATACAAATTCCGGAGTCTGTGACTGTCCAGACAGATCAGATTAGGTGAATGTTATTATTATATAAATTTTACTTGTCAACTAGGGAAGATGTGAATCTAAAAAAATAAATAAAGCCCAAAACTTCCTCAGACCAAAGGAGGGGTGTTTCATAGACAGGGTAGCTGCAAAGCCTAACGGGGGACGAAGCGAAGGAGTGTTGATCAGAGAGGTCTGACTTCACCGCCCATTGTAGCTCCCAGATCCTGTGTGAAGCCAACATCCGAAAAAGAACGCTCACGCGCCTGACCCTCCTGTCTTGGTGTTTGCCGGCAGGTTTCAGAGGCTCGACTATGTGTACCTGAACGCCGGGATCATGCCCAGCCCGCACCTGAACATCGGAGCGGTGCTCTCCAGTCTCTTTTCAAGGTAATGCCAGTGCCCAGACAGCCGATGGTCAGCAAGGCGTTTGCCTCGGCCTGGTTTTGCCTGGGCGTGTGAAGTTGGGTGGCAGAAGGGTGTTGAGAAGAATGAAGACAGGAGGGAAGAAAAGCATTCGTCTCTGGGGGAAGCTGTGTGTCATGATTCCGTGTTCTGGGTCCGAGACGTCTGGTGAGCCCAGAAGAAGGTGGGTCAGCTGCGGGACTCAGTCCCCAGGAGGCACCTCGGGCCGGGTGCCCTGACCCGCAGGCCGGGAAGCGCACGGAACTCGCTGGCTCCCTGGAGAGTCTCAGTACAGTGCGGTGGCTCTCACAGATGTTTGACCCCAACCTGCAGGAAGAAAGCACTCTTACCTTGTGACCTCACCTACTTATTCATGGAGGTTCTTGCTAGACTTTTGTTTCACTCTCTTCCATTAAACACACACACACCCTCAGTCCCACACTGGCCTTCACCTGATACACTGACCTTGCAGCAGACACTGCGGTAGGATGCTCGGTGCTCTAAGGATGACCAGTGAGAGCACCAGCCGCCTGGCTGGTTGGGCATTCGCCTCAGTGTGTGGGGGACCCCTCCTCCGCATCGCCATCGGCATCGGCATCGCCATCGGCATCGCTGTTGTCCCCGTGGACCTGTGATCTGGTTTGGAAAGAGGTGCCGAGGCTTTAGCAGGTTTAGAGGCCCGGAGGCTGTTGGCGCATGGGCTGTGGCATGTGAGGCATCTTGCGTTGTATGTAACACAGCCCCCCAGTCTGAGAAACAGGTGTGTTCATTCCCGTGTTACAGAATCAAAGACATGGAGTTGGGGGCAGAAGGGCAGCAGGGAGCGTCCCTTCAGGGGTCTGGTTGCCGGAGTGTTGGAAAGTCATGCAGTTCTCTTCTGTTTCAGAAAGGTGATCCACGTGTTCTCCACCGCGGAGGGGCTGCTGACCCAGGACGACAGGGTCACTGCCCACGGCCTCCAGGAGGTCTTTGCAACCAATGTCTTTGGCCACTTTGTCCTGGTAAGTGCCATCAGGCCTGCACTCAGCACTGGGTCCTGAAGGCTGTGGGCACCATAGCTCTGCTTTGTGAAGCTCAACGGCGTGGGCTGGCGTTGGATCTGGGAGTATTTAAATAGGACCCGCACTCTCCTCTGAAAACATTGGTCCCTGCAGCAGCCTCTTGAGGGATTATTTTTCCTTTTGCCATCAGCTCTGGAGAGCAGAGAGAAAGTAGAAAGGAACACAGGCCTTCGAAGATCATGCTCAGTGGTCTGTAGAGCCGGGCTGGCCTCAGAGAGGAGGGGAGCAGGCAAGCCATTACTGAACGGGACTCATAGCAATCTTTTGTCGCCCGTTTCTCGAGCCCCCGCACTGTGCGCTGCAGTTCCGGCACAGCTGCCTTGTCCAGCTTGTTCCATGCTCCGGCCTCAGGCTAATCTCTTGGGTGACATTAGCATCTAGACTGTCACGCCAGCTGTTTCCAGTGGCTGACCATTGCTCGGGGCAGCCACTGGCTTTGCCAGTGCAACCTGCTTCTCTGATGCTAGGTTCACGGTCACTTTTCTGCACGTTGAGCCTGTTTTCTCTGAAAATTGGACCACCTTCTTGAGGACTAGCC